AAGTTACTACTTGGATGCATTTACAGGGCTCCTGATACATCACCTGTGAGTGACAAAGCGCTAATAACTACTTTTGAGCTAGCTGCGAGCCATCCATGTGCATGCAAGCTTGTGGCGGGCGACTTCAATCTTCCTGAAATCCAGTGGTTTCCACCCACTGCCCCAGCGAAGTATAGTGGGCTATTAGCCTGCATCAACTTGGGAGGATGGGTGCAGCATGTATCAACGCCGACCAGGTCTAAACACCTGTTAGACCTGATATTTACACTGGGTATATCCAATATACGTGCATCTGTAGGCCTAGAGTTTCCGGGGAGCGACCACAGAGTGGTATACTGCTCGATGTTTGCAAACATCCCGGCAATCTGTACGAGTAGATCAGAGGCCATTGAGATATACCGGCCGATAAGCTCCATAGACTGGCCCACATTTGCCACGATTATTCGAGCAAGGAACTGGGAACAGTTCTTTCTGTCCGACTCCCTGGAGCAATCGTCCGCAATATTTTATGGCGAACTGCATTATTGTCTAGACCTATTGGCTCCATTTACTCCTTTAAATAAAAGTTCAGGAAAAATTAGGAGGCAAACTAAGCTGCATGCAAGGTTGAGGCAACTACGACGTTCCTACTACAAGACGTTCAACTTTGCGCATGTGCTGAGAGCCAACGAGATTGCCAGCCAGCTATCGTCCAGGTCTGTATTGATTAAAACATCCCAAGAAAGAGCAGCCATGGCCAGTGCAAACAAAGCCAAGCACCTCAGCTGGCTGCTGCGTTCTCGCACTCCTCATTATGGAGCAAAGATCACTTCCATACGCGTCGGCCCTTGCAAAGCAAGTGAAGATCCACGGACTATATGTGAGATGTTCAACTCTTACTTCAAAGAGTCCCAGTGTGAAGAACTGTCCCCGGTCACTACTGAGCTGGATGTGTCCACAAACCAGCTGCTCTCCACGGTTCAGTTCGATCTAAAAGGCATCCGTTCCGCTATCAAAACCATAAAACCATCCACCAAACTTGGTCCTGATGGAATTCCACCCATACTACTTAAGAATGGGGGCGATGACCTTTCCATACTCCTCTTGAAACTCTTCACACTCTCTATGGAGAAGGGCCAATACCCATTGGCTTGGAAGCACTCTATCATCACACCGCGCCATAAAGGTGGCTCCGTACAGGAAGTCAGCAACTACCGACCCATAAACCACACATCTATTCTCTCACGTGTGATGGAGAAATCGGTTAAGCGTGCGCTTATGGCCTGCTTGAATGCAGGAGGCCACGTTAGCAGGTCACAGCATGGTTTTCTAAGCGCACGATCCTGCGCAACCTGCCAGCTTGATTTTCTCAACCTGGTCACTGGCGCGATTGATTCAGGTCTGGCGATTATTACGCTATACCTCGATATGCAGAAGGCGTTCGATAGGGTCCCCCATAAACGCCTATTACATAAGCTCAAGGCTTACGGTGTAGTCACCCCTCTGCTTGACTGGCTTAAATCCTACCTAACCGGGCGTACGCAGTCCGTGAAGGTAGCACACTTTGAGTCCATCCCTGTCCCAGTTTCCAGCGGTGTTGTGCAAGGCAGCGTGCTTGGACCAACCCTGTTTTTGATTTATGTGAACGACATCTGTAGCAGCCTGCGCCATGGTCGCCCATTCCTCTTTGCCGACGATATAAAGGTCGTATATGTCTTCCCACCAAGCGCTAAAGTATCCGCACTACAAGAGATCCGTGAAGACCTGAAGACCTTAGAGTCGTGGTGTCAAAATTGGCAAATGACATTCTCTGCTGATAAATCTAGTATTCTAACCCACAAATGCTCCATATCGGATGGTGCGTTTACGTTGAATGGTACGCCCATCCAACTAAAAACGTTAGCTACTGACCTAGGTATTCGCTATTCTATGACCCTCAACTTTTCAGAGAATGTGCAGTATCAGGTAGCAAAAGCACGCAGAATGGTCTTCCACATAGGCCGCCACATTAACTCGGCTGAAGCACGGTTGGAGCTTTACCGCAGTCATGTTCGTCCGCAGCTGGAATATTGCCCCTTTATCTTCAGTAATTTGCGGAAATCAGACCGCATATTGCTCGAAAAGGCTCAGCGGCGGTTTACCAAAATAGTAGCCCCACAAGGCCCAGCGCTTACTTACCTACAGAGGTGTAACCATCTCAAACTCCAGCCTCTATGGCTGCGGCGCATTATCTTAAACCTGTGCTTCTTACATAAGTTAATATACCAAGCGGTGCACAGTGATATCCCCAGCCTGACACTGAGAAGAGGATCAGAATTCAACCTCCGAAACAAGCACTGCACAGTTGCCCCGCTGCCAGCGAGGAAGAAACTACGTTCACGTTTCTTCCTTGTCGCTTATGTAAATATCTGGAACAAATTACCTTCACAGCTGCGGGAGATTCACAATCCACAGACTTTCAAGCAGGAGGTACGAAAGTTTATGTGCCTGGATAACATAAGACGCCTTTTCAACATCTGTGATTCTGATGACAACCTTTTTGAGACCGGCCCCGATGGGGCATAGATCACATTTTGGTCAGCTCTAGCGCAACTTTGTATTGCGCTCAACTAGGCTCCATGACAGGAGCATCTTGGGCTCACAGGTCCTCCCCATACTTTGCGGTCCCTGTCACACTACGTGAGAGATCTTGGCCCGATCAGTTGCACTCATCTTACAGATGTTAGGACTGCTAATCCGACCACAAAAGGTATTCAGCCTACCCCAGTAGTAGCTGAGCGCTTTACTGGCTCCCACCGACAATTAGTTAAATGGGAAGTCTTGAAATAGTAGGCGCTACCGCAAAGGCAACCTGGAAACGCTAATCGGTAGCTCAAACCCTTTGAAAGCTCCTTCTCGACGCCCAGTTCTTACTGCTCAACAGATCAGCACGTAAAGCAGCCTAGTACTATTGAATGGGAGCATCGTAAGCCTGTAGGCACTGACCAGGTAGGATATTGCATAGCAATGGGGATGCAATCCGAACGGACAAACTTTACTTCACTTCTCCCTTCTCTTCTACACTTTGGTTCCTTCGTCTCCATCTTTACCCCTTAGTATTTTCCAAATACCTAGTCCACTAGGTCTCTTGCGAATACTTATACTTGTGACCCATGAGTCACGTCTACTAAAAACATTTTAACAACATTAAGCCTCATGTGAAATGCCAGGTTCTAGCGTTGTTGCCCTAATTGAAGCTTTTTCATTAAGTCTGAGCACTAGTTACTATAGTCAGCAGTTTCCAAACACTATCAGTAGGTAAGCCGCAAAATAAAAAATATATCTTTCTTATTGTTGACAATGAGCGCACTTTAAAAGTTCTAGACCCAATAATCAGACATTTTGCTCTCCACTTATACTCTCTTGGCCCCATATACTTAGCTTTATCTGGTATACATGTGCCTTTCGCTATTGTCAACACTAGTAGACAGGCATAAAGAAAACCAGATCCTCTTCTTTAACTGCTTTTGCTCGTAAAACACTCGCATTTCCAGATTTCATTTCACTGGCACGAAAGCTAACCAATGACAGAGAGGCCCCTGTCACACTGGCTGGCTGGAGCACCAGAAACTTTCCATCACCACTTTTCTTATCTTGGCCGTCCGTGTGTCATTTCTCTTTTAGCTGGCTCCAAAGCCTACCATGCGCTATGCGTAATGGCGGGTGAACGACCAGCTCCCACTGGTTTTTGTTACTATTCTACTCCTGATTTACCTTATCGCTCTTTGCTTAGGGTGCTAGAACAGCTCTTGCCAGGAAAATCACAAAAGAAATAGTCGGTGTGACATTAGAGTACCAGTTAACATTGCCAACTGGATGAACACCGCCGGCACTATCTTCGGAACTTAAAAATGGAGAGAAATAAAGCGAAATTCATCAAAGAGCTGCACAATAGTGTGCATCTACACATGAGGCATAACAATACCTCAAGTATGAGCAAGCTCAACCACCAGAAGTAGAGTTGTTAAAGCCCAACCAATGTAGACCAAAACGGATTTCACGCCCAAATGCAATTAGCTAAATTTTACTAAATTTTCCCATGCTTATTTCTTTATTATTGGTGGCAGGCTCCTATAGCTCACTGACGTTAGAGACAGAGCCACATGAATATAGAAAATCGGCTCTAAGGGATAAATCTTGTGATGTTTAGCTAAGTAATGTGTGTATTTTGTAGGCCGAAATCTGTTAACGGATCTGAAAGATCCCCAGGGTTACTCAGGTAGACCTGGCTCATGCGGGCTTGTTGTAAGCTTTAGAAAAGCTTAGAGGCTTAAAAAATGCTAAACTCTATTTTACTGGTTGTTTATGTGGCTCAGTATCCACTGAAAATGGTATGCTGTGGCCTTCTAACCGTGAGTTAATTACAAGCTCCCCTGAATTCCCATGTAGATATAATATTCCTTGCTGGATTTCTAGCGTTTTCGCGCAAGATCATCCCTTATCTGCATATATTTGTCATGTATGCCTGCAAAGTTTACTTTTCGGCCACCTGCGCAGTCCGTAGTTGTCGCAGGGTATTACGGGCTAATTAGAGCATTTCTGGATAGCTATGCCTATCTAGAACATACGCCGCTTCCCTACTTTTTATATTTTCTTTTCTTTTTTCTGCTATCTGCTTGCAAAGCAGAAAGCCATTTTTAGCGAAAAATAAAAATGGCCTTATTCGTAGACCATCATTTAATTGCGAATAACTCGCAAACTACTGCACGTATTGTGTTGCTTTTACGTTCAACGTATTCAGGCGCTAAAGCTGGTCCAGACCAGTGTAATTTTGTGCCACTTTAAGCGGTATTCTATCTGTAGAAAGGCTTTTTCTTTTATCTGAGAATAACTCAGGTTGAAATTTTGCGCCGGAGAGCAATATCAGCGTATGAAAAGTAGGGCTGTATTTTTTTGTTAATTGGTATTTTTCGACTGAAACACGCAGCTTTATTTTCTCTCTTAACAAATTGTTTCTATTTTTGTCCGCATTTATCGGAATT